ACATCATTGTGACGTTTGAGAAAAATGGCCGATCTTACAAATAATAATGGTTCCATTTTTCTGTATAGCATTCTGTCATACTTTGCGGATTTTTGCAGCGTTCTTTTATGATAATCTTTCGTGAGTAAAGAGATTTTTGCCATTGTTTTAAGTTTTTTTCCTCCTACTTTTCTGGAGGTCATTTGCGTCATTCAAAGCAAATGGTTCGGCGAATTAAATTTGCGAATTTTGGAAAAAAATAACGCAAAGTTTGTATTAAGCCGAAGAGAGTAAATGGAAGAATTTTTATGGCGTGATGCATTATATCTGGTGTTAAGTGAGAATTTTATTTAATTAATTCTCTTTTTTTCGTATCGATTGTTGTTGCTAGGCTTTAGGAAAGATGGAAACGTATTAATCAATAAAAGGCGAAAATGGATTTTAGGTTAGTGTTTCTCGGAAGCTGTTTTCAGAAAATAATGTTCTGACTAGATAAATGCGACTGTTGCTGATCGTTGAAGAGAGACGAGACTTGCAAATCATGATAAAAATTCCTAAATCTATATGTCAAACTTTCTTCCATCCTCTAAACAAATATCCTCCTCCTCTTCCGCATCTATTACATATAAGATTTTTAACATCCTTTAGTTTGCATCTTGTTTCAACTTTGGGGATTATCATGAATTCCTTATCGATCTGTTTGAAGATTTTCGAAACAAATTCTCAATTTCAAACTTGTCATTGTAGCATATAAAGAACTTTATCACTTCTTACCACAAAGAAAGATTGTTTCATTAAAGCTGGAGGAACATTGAATTCGAAGAAACAATTAAATACTAAAAATCCTCTTAGTGATTTTGAAGAGCAGTTGAACTACTAAATACCTCTTCAATAAATAAGGAAACATTTAACTAGAGAAGATCCTTTCATTGAATTTAAAGAACTATTGAATATCTAAAAGTTTCTTTATTGAATTTGAAGAATCATAAAGATCTCTTCATTAACTGTAACGAACCTTTTAATTAATGAAAGTTCCTCTGTTAAACTTGAAGGAAACATTAAACGTCGTTGTACTGAATTTGAAACATAAAGATTCGCGAATGTAAAAATAAATTATACTTCTTTATTATAATTTATGCTAATGTAAACAGGAATGTAGCAATGAACAATATTACTTTTGCTGAACAACAGATTGTTTCTTCCATTACTGAACTCCAAAATTATCTTTCAGCAATTGGTTCTGTCAGTTCCCACCACCTGGCCAGCCATGCCAGCAGCCAGAAAGAAGACGAGAATCGGGTTGTGCAGTTGTTTCGGCAGCGACGATCCACCGGAAATTACATATCACGTGGTCGAGAATGGGGGCGTGGTCAGTCTACAACCACACCTTCTGACACCGACTCAACCAATGCCTGATATCGAAGAATTGAATGCCAAATTTGCCGAATTAGTAGTACGTATTCTGTTATGCTAATTAATATAATTGATGCTAATTACTTTTAAATTAATTCATTCATTGCTGTTTTTTTTTCTATTTTTTTTTAATGTATATAGGAAGAACTAGATTTAACAGCGGCTAACAAAGAAATTATGTTTAATTTACCTTTGGAGAAGAAATGGCAACTTTACTTAAGCAAAAAAATGGTTAGATTTGTTAAATTTTAATATTTTATTCCTAGTGCAAAAATCGATAAAAATACGGACGTCAATGCCCTCCTTTAGTGGTTCCATCTAGTGGTATAATTCTTAATTATTTTTTCTAGGAACAAGAAGATCCCTCTGCACATTATCCCGACTACTACATCGAACGTGTTAATGCCATGTCGCATGTAAGTAAACAACAAAAAAAAAAACATTTTAAGCTTTCAAAAACTTAAAATTTATAAGTATTTATTTTTCATTCTTCTTACAGTTATTATTCCCGAGAGAAGAAGAAGAATTATCGGTAAGAGTGAAATTATTGGATAACTTGAAAACTGCTCTCAGAACACAACCAAATAGGTAAAATTAATGTTAAAAACTAAAGGAATCTTTAGAATAATTTAATTTTAAATAATAACCGTAATATTCTTACAATTTTCAATATTTAACAGTTTTGTAACGAGATTTCTAGACCTCGATGGACTTCCTTGTCTGCTAGATTTCTTGAGCAATATGGAATTTAAAACTGCCGAGAGTTCCATCCATACATCACTCATCGGTTGTCTAAAAGCTTTAATGAATAATTCGGTAAGTTATTAAGGGTTTTTCTCTTTTAGTTTTAATTAATTATGCACTTAGCACCCTTTTTTTTATTATTTTTTATGTAGAAAGGTCGTGCTCATGTTCTGGCTCATCCGACAGCTATTAACACAATTGCTCAGAGTCTTAGTTCCACCAATATTAAGACTAAAATAGCAGTTTTGGAGATCCTCGGAGCCGTTTGTCTAGTCCCGGGTGGGCATAAAAAAGTTTTGGAAGCTATGCTACATTATCAGAAGTATGCTTCTGAACGGACGCGTTTCCAGGTAAATTACTTATATTGCTTCTAATAAGCAAAAAATTGAAGTAAAATGTACATTATAATTGTCTTATTTATTAATTTTTATCATTATGATTTATAATATAAAAATAATATAATTTATTTTAATTAATTTACATTATTAATTAAAAAGCCACAATAATAATAATAATTCATCGAGAATATAATTTAGAAAACCCTCATTAAAGAGAAAATTAAACCTCAGTAAAGAATCTAATGTATAAAGAAGAAAGTTTGTTAGTTTGTTCTTTATGTATTTCGATACGATTTGAGCATATACGCCGAAATTTTTCAGAACCATCCTCTCATCTGGAAGGTTGACTTTGGTGAAATTAACTTCGACACCCCATCCGCACATGGCCCCCTTTCTATCTGATCAGTGGGATGATGGTGTTCGAATAGAAAAATTACTTAATAAAAAGTTACCAGCGAACACAAAATATGTTTTTAGGGTGTTTTCGAGGATGTCGAGTTCAAATACTTGGTCTATTTATCGCGAAGTTTGATTGGTTGAACGATTAATATTCACATTCGGCTGGGTATGTGATTATTTTCAATGGTAATGCTAATTTACGGCACTGTGTTTATAGAAAACAGGACAATTTGCTTTACGACCTTTATCCAAAAACCAAAAAGGGCATATACTTCATATACTGTATTTCAAAGTTATTCAAAATTTTTAGGTTTAATGCTTGAAACTAGGAAGATTGTAAACAATTCTAATATATAATATTTTCAGTCAGAAAATATTCTGTGAAAATAAATATCAATAGATGAGAATTGGAACAGTCCAGTCATAAATACAAAATTTGATTATTTCATTAACTATGAAATATTCCAGAAAAGAGAAACGAACAATTGAGATGAAAGTAATATAGAAGTAGTTTAGTATAGAGAAATTTTTGCTTTATAATTTTAACAAATATTATATTTACTTACAAGTAAATAATGTTATGTTCGCTGTAGGTTAATGTTCATAATATTTAACATATATTTAATAATTTAATTTAATTTAGTTTTTATACTAAAAAATTAAAATAATAAATAAAATTAAATTTAAATTAAAATGAATAAAATCGAAGTATATAAATTAATTATTGTGTTTATGACATTATAAATATATAAATATTGAGTACATTAGGTTTATTCAGTTTAATAATTAAATATACTTCCTTATCTGATAACATTGATACACAATCAATATTTATCTTCTTCGATCATCCTCAGTTTATTATTCTCAGATTCAATTTATAACTTATTTTATTAATTTATGTTTATAACACTAGCAAATATGCCCGGGAAAAAGAATAACAAAATTTTAATTAAAGAACATATCAAGAGTTTGGTTATCTTATCCTCTCATTGTCATGTTTATCGCCATACTCGGATGATATAGAATAGCCCAATTTCATTGGATGAATAGACAGAAATTGATGTTTTTCGATAGAAAATAGTCGTTGACTTCCGCCTGCACGAGAAATTTGAGACATCCAAATTTTTTCTCTTAACTCTAACGCACTCTACCGTTCACAGCTATGGCCGGAAGTCTCGTCTTCTTAGGAGTCTCGTCTCACTGCTCACTACTAATATTTTAGTTCTATAATTATATCTGTATAATACCTCTAAAGAAATTTGGAAGAGGATGTATAAAGTGCTTAAAATGGTCTCTGTCGCAATTTAATTGTAACAAACACATCCTACACTATTGATTAAATTAACTTCAAATTTAAATATAATTTTGTGTATATTAAAACAATGTCTTATTTTTAGCATTTAATAAAGCCCCACTTTACGAAACTCATTCTTCCAGCTAGTATAAATTGTCTATCATGACTATTATTATAAAATGAATATTTTTATTTGCATCTCCGTATGATATTTCTATAGTTAGAATACAGTACATATCGAAGAACGTAGTATATATGTCTATAGGAAATAGAACGACTCATTTTACGACATGATTTCTCAGACGTCAATTAGGACGTATAAAAGGAGTCTACTGTATTATATATTAACTTTTATTTGCTATATACTATTTTTTCATATTTACTCACAACTTCACATTAAATTGCTTTGAAAAATTTCTTTCATAAACTGTTCGTCATTTATGTGGACTCTATAAATTGTATATAAAACTAAACTTGAAATTCATAGATGTATGCCTAATAAGATAAAAATCAGTATACTTTAAAGCAAAATAGCTATATTTCCATATAAAACAGAATGTCTGTTCTCTTCTCTATACAATTCTAAACCCTTCGGCGGATCTGCATCAAATTTTTTATAGCACTCTCTAAGACCCTGCGGAAAATATAGGCTATCATAAAACCTCGACAACCCACTCTCTCCCCTTATTTCATCCCCCATTAACTCCTAAACTCTTTGAACGATCTACACCAAATTTTTCATAGCTACTCTCTAGGACCCTGCGGAAAATTTAGGCTACCATAAACTTGCACACCCGTATTCCTCTCAAGATTTCATTCCCTTTGACACTTTATGATATTTATAACAATGGTATAATCTAAAGTATGGTCTAAAATAACTATTATTAATTAAAAAGCCACAATAATAATAATAATTCATCGAGAATATAATTTAGAAAACCCTCATTAAAGAGAAAATTAAACCTCAGTAAAGAATCTAATGTATAAAGAAGAAAGTTTGTTAGTTTGTTCTTTATGTATTTCGATACGATTTGAGCATATACGCCGAAATTTTTCAGAACCATCCTCTCATCTGGAAGGTTGACTTTGGTGAAATTAACTTCGACACCCCATCCGCACATGGCCCCCTTTCTATCTGATCAGTGGGATGATGGTGTTCGAATAGGAAAATTACTTAATAAAAAGTTACCAGCGAACACAAAATATGTTTTTAGGGTGTTTTCGAGGATGTCGAGTTCAAATACTTGGTCTATTTATCGCGAAGTTTGATTGGTTGAACGATTAATATTCACATTCGGCTGGGTATGTGATTATTTTCAATGGTAATGCTAATTTACGGCACTGTGTTTATAGAAAACAGGACAATTTGCTTTACGACCTTTATCCAAAAACCAAAAAGGGCATATACTTCATATACTGTATTTCAAAGTTATTCAAAATTTTTAGGTTTAATGCTTGAAACTAGGAAGATTGTAAACAATTCTAATATATAATATTTTCAGTCAGAAAATATTCTGTGAAAATAAATATCAATAGATGAGAATTGGAACAGTCCAGTCATAAATACAAAATTTGATTATTTCATTAACTATGAAATATTCCAGAAAAGAGAAACGAACAATTGAGATGAAAGTAATATAGAAGTAGTTTAGTATAGAGAAATTTTTGCTTTATAATTTTAACAAATATTATATTTACTTACAAGTAAATAATGTTATGTTCGCTGTAGGTTAATGTTCATAATATTTAACATATATTTAATAATTTAATTTAATTTAGTTTTTATACTAAAAAATTAAAATAATAAATAAAATTAAATTTAAATTAAAATGAATAAAATCGAAGTATATAAATTAATTATTGTGTTTATGACATTATAAATATATAAATATTGAGTACATTAGGTTTATTCAGTTTAATAATTAAATATACTTCCTTATCTGATAACATTGATACACAATCAATATTTATCTTCTTCGATCATCCTCAGTTTATTATTCTCAGATTCAATTTATAACTTATTTTATTAATTTATGTTTATAACACTAGCAAATATGCCCGGGAAAAAGAATAACAAAATTTTAATTAAAGAACATATCAAGAGTTTGGTTATCTTATCCTCTCATTGTCATGTTTATCGCCATACTCGGATGATATAGAATAGCCCAATTTCATTGGATGAATAGACAGAAATTGATGTTTTTCGATAGAAAATAGTCGTTGACTTCCGCCTGCACGAGAAATTTGAGACATCCAAATTTTTTCTCTTAACTCTAACGCACTCTACCGTTCACAGCTATGGCCGGAAGTCTCGTCTTCTTAGGAGTCTCGTCTCACTGCTCACTACTAATATTTTAGTTCTATAATTATATCTGTATAATACCTCTAAAGAAATTTGGAAGAGGATGTATAAAGTGCTTAAAATGGTCTCTGTCGCAATTTAATTGTAACAAACACATCCTACACTATTGATTAAATTAACTTCAAATTTAAATATAATTTTGTGTATATTAAAACAATGTCTTATTTTTAGCATTTAATAAAGCCCCACTTTACGAAACTCATTCTTCCAGCTAGTATAAATTGTCTATCATGACTATTATTATAAAATGAATATTTTTATTTGCATCTCCGTATGATATTTCTTTAGTTAGAATACAGTACATATCGAAGAACGTAGTATATATGTCTATAGGAAATAGAACGACTCATTTTACGACATGATTTCTCAGACGTCAATTAGGACGTATAAAAGGAGTCTACTGTATTATATATTAACTTTTATTTGCTATATACTATTTTTTCATATTTACTCACAACTTCACATTAAATTGCTTTGAAAAATTTCTTTCATAAACTGTTCGTCATTTATGTGGACTCTATAAATTGTATATAAAACTAAACTTGAAATTCATAGATGTATGCCTAATAAGATAAAAATCAGTATACTTTAAAGCAAAATAGCTATATTTCCATATAAAACAGAATGTCTGTTCTCTTCTCTATACAATTCTAAACCCTTCGGCGGATCTGCATCAAATTTTTTATAGCACTCTCTAAGACCCTGCGGAAAATATAGGCTATCATAAAACCTCGACAACCCACTCTCTCCCCTTATTTCATCCCCCATTAACTCCTAAACTCTTTGAACGATCTACACCAAATTTTTCATAGCTACTCTCTAGGACCCTGCGGAAAATTTAGGCTACCATAAACTTGCACACCCCTATTCCTCTCAAGATTTCATTCCCCTTGACACTTTATGATATTTATAACAATGGTATAATCTAAAGTATGGTCTAAAATAACTAAACATATAAAACGAAGATGATTAGAAATAATT